ATGAAAAGTGAGTCACTTACGACAACGTCAAGCGAAAATGGTCGTGGTCAAAACGCGGTGAGCCGGCGCAAACGGTGGCCAAGCCAGGATTGACGGTCAGGAAGGCTTTGCTGTGTGTTTGGTGGGATTGGCATGGAATCATCCACTATGAGCTGCTCCCCTACGGCCAAACTCGTAATTCGGACCTGTCAACAATTGGACCGTCTGAAGGAATTAATCGCCCAGAAGCGGCCAGCTTTGGCCAATAGGAGAGGAATTGTGTTCCATCAGGACAACGCCAGGCCACATACATCGATAGTGACTCGCCAGAAGCTCCGGGAGCTTGGTTGGGAGGTTCTTATGCATCCACCTTACAGTCCGGACCTGGCACCAAGTGATTACTACCTGTTCCTGTCTATGGCGAATGATTTTGCTGGTGAAAAATTCGCCTCAAGAGAAGCTTGTAAAAATCGACTTTCCCCGTTTTTTGCCAATAGGGACAAGGGTTTCTATGAGAGAGGCATAATGAAATTACCTTCAAAATGGCAACAAGTTATCGAACAAAACGGTGCATATTTGACCTAAATCGGATCATTCTAACTATGTTAAATAAAGCCTTCAATTTCATGCAAAAATAATGGATTTCTTTTTACTGCACCTTATATTACCTCGAGAGCTTTGACGATTGCTTCCGCATCGCTTTGAACTATTGAAATAGTTTCGACGCCTTTAGTTGCATTCGGACGAGTCACAATTTCTTCTTTCATTGTTGCGGTTGCAGCAGTTTCCTCGTCAACATGAATGTTCAAAGCCTGTGGCAACTGTTGCGTAAGCATCCCAGAATGAACGCGAATAGTTTGGCCGGCACTTAACTGGCTAATAAAATGTCCTTCAGAAAGAAGCTGCCGAGCTTCTTGAATCGATAACGGAATAGGATTACCTTCTTCATCTGTAATCTGAAAATATCGTCTCTTACAAATATCATCTGCATTTTTTATAATAACGATAAATTTTTAAATAGTTATTATGAGAGAGAGAAAAGGAGAGTGAGAGGCAGAAGGGGAGAGAGAGAGAAGGAGACAGAAAGAGAGACAAAGAAAAAGAGAGAGACAGAAAAAGAGAGAGTATGTTGTTACCTGCAATTGTAAATCCGACTCTGAAAGTTCTATTCCCGACTGCTCCTGGTTATTGCTTGATATATTATTCGATATCTTATCTGTAATTATCTCATCGGTCTCAACGTTTAAACGTGGCAACGAGTCTGTATCTGATGTTACTTCAACCTTATTTCTTATTATGCTTGTATCAACTATATTTAAAAAAATAGCTGAGTTAATATTAATTGATTAAAAATATCTAACAAAAATATTTGTTAACAAATTTCGATTGATATAATTAAGATAATAAAGAAATTCATACGTAAATACAGTATAAATCGACTATGTACCAAAATGTAATGTTCGTGATTGATTAGGATCATCAGGATCTTGGTAGGACACATAAATGATCTGTTGAATTCCGTCGGTAGACGTTTCATCGGCCGCAATCACCTGCGTCATTTGATCATTGACGAGAGTTTGTTCCTCAGATTCCTGTGAATTCGGTAAGATTTGCCACACTTCGCCAATTGGAGATCCTCCCGACTCGTCCACTGCTACTACTTTATTTTCCTTGTGTACCTACAAAAATTAATGATTATTACTAATCGCGACATAATATCCGCGACAAAAATCTAGAAGAAACAAAAGATCCTAAGATACCTTTTTGTGTTTTGTCAAATTCGAGCAATCAGCAAAAGCTTTACCACATAGATCGCAAGAATACGGTTTCTCACCTGCAAAATGAGGCATAATGGTAACAACTTGAAATTAAGCTTCCACTCGTGTTTATGTTGGAATTCATCGTTTCATAAAAATAGATCTTACAAGGAGACTGTTCAAACGCGCCGTGTTAGATTTTGCTAATTTTTATATATATTGTAGTAATCCCTTTCCTGTAAATACAGCTCGTATAACTCTTACCAATGAGTACTAGTTTACGAGAAATCGGCGTTGAAAGTTTTCCATGCGCCTAGAGTACCGCTTAAGTAGAAGCAAAATTCAAATAGCCAGCATGACGCAGCGAGTAGAAAGCGCGGCTAGTACACTTGATGTCGTGCGTTCGAATCTGAATTGTTCCAACTTTTTTTTATTTTCTTTATATTTTTTTAAATAAAATAAATGATTAATATATGAATTAGCCAATCATCATCCCAGTATTATTATCATTCGCAGTATTATTATCATTATCGAACGGCCTAACAGTGGTATCATTTTTGCTATCTGCGTACCCGTTTCTTTCACACTCATTGTATAATGGAGAGGTAATGGAGAAGAACTTTCCGCAGATAGCATAAACGATAACACTGTTAGGCTGTTCCCACAGGACACAAATCTTAAAACTTCATCTGGCATGCATTCCAAAGTAATATAACGACTAGTAACGTAATGTTAAAATAAATTCCCTTCCCAAACTTTAAAAGAATAATTTATTTATTCGTTGATAAGCGTATCTCATTACTTTTCGTACAATTCTGTTTAAAAAATGCGAATGATAATAATAATACTGGGAATGATACTGGATAATAATACTGGAATGATAATAATAATACTGGGATGATAGTTAACTAATTCATATACTAATAATTTATTTTATTTCATATTTCGGAAAAAAAAAATTGGAACAAGTCGAAATCGAACGCATGACATCGAGCGTTCTAGCCGCGCTCTCTACTCGCTGCGCCACGCTGGCTACTTGAATTTTCTACTTAAGGCTATCTTGCTGCAGAAAGTCTGAATTGACGGTAGCGTCTAGCAGTGTCCAGAACATGAAATAACCGTGTCAGCGTAGCTGATTGGCTAACACTAGGCTAGGTTCACGCTAGGATTCGCTTGATACCTCGGAAAATTAATTGCGTTTATCACGTTATTTTGCAGTTTTTTCGTGAAGTGTGTATATTATCGTGATCCTCACAGCTGTAAAATATGCAGCAAACTTAGTGATATATTGTGAAAATCAAGAAATTAAATATGTTCATAATGCTGATCTTAGCTGTCACAAACTACTGTGACTGCCGAAAATTGTAACATTATTTCAGGAATTATTTTACGATGCTACGTGATATATCAGCCAGATATCTGAGTTTGCTGTACTTTTTACAGGTTTCAGGATTAGGAAAACATTTGATTCTTCAGGGAAAAGTAAAAAATAAAGCAATAAAACGCAACTAATTTTCAGTATGTCATTTCTCACTTCTGATATCATCAAACCAATATGACCGCCCTCGAAATAGCAGAGCCTTAAGCGGTACTCTAGGCGCACAGAAAACTTTCAACGCCGATTTCTCATAAACTAGTGCTCATTGACAAGAATCGACGAGCTGTGTTTATAGGAAAGGGATTACTACAATATATATATATATATATATATATATATATATATATATATATATATATATATATAGAG